CGCTTAGAGATCTACAAGGGTATGTAGATGCACTCTCCTTCCCCTCGTTGCTGGTTTCTCCATAGATAGATCTTGGTGACACGTAGGAAAATTTTGAATTTCTACTACGTTCCCCAACAGCAGTCACCCTCAGCAGTCGACCAGTTGCCAATCAGATCTAGGATCACACAGTTTGAGCTTCCAATGACCCAATTAAACAGCTTTAGTGGTATGAATCTGCAGTTCCTGGGTTTAGGAACTAAGTGAATTGGCATGACTAGGTCTCCAGTGTGCTTTATGCTTTTATTCTATGCAAACCCAAACGTTTAATTGCTGAAAGTTCTTAAAGAAAACCTCATTTTCCATCTGCGTGACTATACAAGATACAGTTCTTCATTATAAACCAAGGAAATATATATACTCAGATCCATATTAATAAATTTTCAACTACGCTGCTTAGAGAAAACTAAATCAATGCCAGATACCTGCAAGTGAGAGGATGGTTTACCTTGGTTGTCGGCGTAGCAGACACTGCCGCGATGGTTCATTCCTCGAAGCTTGCTCTGTTGCCTGAAGTGACTCCGTTTCTGAATCAGCTGGCGAAGACAGCCACCATAGGGGAGGTAGCCTCTTACTAAAGTAGGAAGATCGAGCAGTCATATCAGCATACTCAGCAGCTGACATATTGTCGTACTTAGCAGCTAGAGTGGAACGCTCAACAGCTAAAATCTTATCCATCCCTTCGCTTATAGTGTTGCACGTATTCTCTTGCAAGTAATCCTCCATTTCTTGCAGTTCCTTCTCCCTGAAGAAAAGCATTCCCCATATAGTTAATAAATAAGTCTATGTGCTGCTAAACTAGTGAATGTATCCCACCGAGGCAAAACAAAGAAAATTTACTGTAAATGAACACAAATACTCCCTCCGTACCAAAATATAAGACGTTTTTGCAGTTCAAATTGAACTGCAAAAACGTCTTATATTTTGATACAGAGGTAGTACTTGTTTGGCTGCTTATTTGCTGGTGCTGTTACAACCTACGGCATTATTTTGTGCTTTATGCGTCAATATCTAAGTAGCTACATAGTGATAACAGTTAAACCATACATTAGAATGTCAATAGTAGTTTAATTCAAAGGACTCACATTTGTCATGCTGCACTTTACTAATGACATGCAGCTATGCTACTCTTCTATTCTTTTTGGCTATTTTGATCCACCTATAAACAGGTAAAGTTTTAGTGCTTTGAGACTACTTGCTGTTAGTTATAATCCTTGTCGTAATTAGTCATGCTGCAGTTATTCAATGAGTCAAGTCTTAGGGAGTATGTAGTGAGTCAAGTCTTTGTCTTAGGCTAGAAGTCAGTGGGTCAAGTCAAAAAGTCAAAAAGTCTGTACTAGTCCTTTCAGCTATAAGTAAGGGGGAAAGCCCAGCCAGTGGCAGCAATGGCAGCACCAAAAGAGAAGCATGTAGTGCATCAATAAGAGAAGGCTTTGGCTGTGTGAGGCAGCAAGTCACCAAAAATAGCTTGTGTATTTGTGCATGTAGAGAGAGAGGAACTGAGCGATTCAGCTCCAACAGAGATAGAGGAGCTGCTCCAACAGAGGGGGGCTGAGTGACTCAGCTAAGCTTCAGGTGCTAGTGTTTTGTGTGTGTGTGTAAGATATCAAGCCTCACTGCTAGTAGTAGTCCTGTGTGTGTTTGAGAGTGGATGAAGCATATCGCAGGAAGAGGGGGGATGTTAGAGTACGTGATGGGCCTAATGGGCCCGTTAGTCTTAGGGTTAATTAGAGATAAGGGTCGCTTGCTTAGGGGTCAAGTAAGCCTTGCTTGGGAGTCAAGTAAACCTCTCTATATAAAGAGAGGAGATGTATCAATCTAATCAAGTAAGAATTAAGAAGGACATCCCTTCCCTCTTGCCCGGCCGTGGGCAAAAAGGCCTCCGGCCGGCCCTCTCGCGCCCTCCTTCTAGCAGCGCCATAACAATTTGGTATCAGATAGCTCAGTTCCGATCATGTCTTCGCCGCCGCCCACCCCGTCGCTTCCGCTGCCGACCGGCACTACCGCGCCGCTGATCTCCCCGTCCGCGCCGCTGCTCTCCCCATCCGCGCCGCTGGACTCCACCGCCGGCACCTCCACCGGCCAGATGCCTCCCTCCACCGCGCCCCCTGCCTCCGTCCTCACCCCGGAGCAGGTGACCGGGGTCCTGAACGACCTGGTCACAGCGGCCCAAGGGATCCGGCTGTACTTACCCAGTCCCTACGGGCCGCCGCCACCCCCGCCGCCGGCCGCCACCACCGGCCCACCGGCCCTGCCATGGTACCTGCCACCCGCGGCGGCTTCCTCGGCGCTCGCAGGGCCGCTGCAGCTGCAGCCGCCGCCCGCTGCCACCCCACAGTGGCCGCAGTGGCCGTCGCCGACCCTCGCGGCGCCCCCCGCGCCCATTGCCGCCCTCGCGCCGTTGTGGCTGCCGTGGTAGCCGCCGCACCAGGCGGCCTCCGCCGCGCTCGCCGAGCCGCTGCAGCTGCCATCCATCGCCACCACTGCCCAGCCCTGGCTGCAATGGCAGCCGCCGCACCAGGCGGCCTCCGCCGCGCTCGCCGGGCCGCTCCAGCTGCCATCCATCGCCACCACAGCCCAGCCCTGGCTGCAGTGGTAGTCATCGCTCCTGGCGGCCTCCGCCTCTCCCGGCGCGACACCGCAACAGCCACCGCTGATCAGCTCCGCCGCCCAGTATGGGATGCCCTACGACGGGACTGCGATGACCTCGTTCCCATCAGCGCCGCCGCCGTCCTAGGGCGTCCACATCCAGTAGATCAAGTCCCCGTCGTCGCCGTCACCGTTTCCGTCTTGGATCGCTACCCGCCACGTGTCGGCGGCGGTGAGGCTGCAGGCTGCTGCGCGCGGCCTCCTAGCGCATCGGCGTGTGCGGGAGATGCGTGGTCTGCAGTTGCCGCTCCTCCAAGTTGCCCTTCGCTGCGCAAAGGACCTCGATCTCATCCGCTGCGTCGGGGATCTTGGGCATGCGGTTTCCCCCACCGGCGGCGGACATGTTGTTTTCCCCGCGGGCAGCGACCTCAAAGTCTGCGACATCGGTGGTTGGGGGGCGCACCCCTTCTCGCCATTCTCCATCGCAAGCCCTCCACTCTTCCCTGTGCGGTGCAGACCAACAGCCGTCCGGCAGGGAGAAGGCATGGTGTCACCGACAGGAGCGCACTGCGTAGCACCACTGCATTCCGCCACCGGCCGCCGCGAGGGCGCCTCTGCTGGTCACTCTTGCGACCACTTCCAGATGGCCATACACATGCACTCCTTTTGTCCAAGTGGTGTCCATGGGATCCAGGTGGCTGTACACGTGCACCTCCGACGTGCGGATGGCGTCCACTTTTTGTTAAGGGGTCCAAAATAAAGCGACCCAGTCCATTTCAGGTTGAGAATAATAGAACAAGCCGAGATGTAAAAGGCTTGTTTTTAGGTGTTAGGTTTGTGTTGCGTCGAGTCATGATTATAAGTTGGTTAGGCTGCAGCTCGAGGACAAGCTGCATGTCCAGGTGGGGTGTAGTGTTAGAGTACGTAATGGGCCTAATGGGCCCGTTAGTCTTAGGATTAATTAGAGATAAGGGTCGCTTGCTTAGGGGTCAAGTAAGCCTTGCTTGGGAGTCAAGTAAACCTCTCTATATAAAGAGAGGAGATGTATCAATCTAATCAAGCAAGAATTAAGAAGGACATCCCTTCCCTCTTGCCCGGCCGTGGGCAAAAGGCCCCCGGCCGGCCCTCTCGCGCCCTCCTTCTAGCAGCGCCATAACAGGGGAGTTGAGTGATTCAATTCCAAAACTTGCGATATTAATGCAGCTAAGACTTAAAAGTTACAAATAAAAAATACAGCTCAATATTAACAAACAGCAAAATCATACGTACAAATCAAAATCTGATTCTTCTTCGGGCTTCCCTGCCACAGTTTCCGACTCAGTCTCGCTGCTGCCAGTATCATAACACAAATTGGACCTACATCAATAAATATCCACACAACTAATGGTTATTCTAATGTTCAGCTGCCTAGCATTTAATTTTATGTAAATAATATACTACTACTTATGAAGTTGATGATGAATCAAACATATCCAATGATGTGCAAAACATAAGAAAGGGTACTGTGGGTCATAATAAGTATCCGTTAATACAGAGATAGTTATGATCATACCAATAGGTCGACTGAAGTGTACGAGGCATGTCATTCAGCGCTAGGGCAGTGGATTCTGACAGATCCACAGTTACAGAGCCCTCACTGCTACTAACCTCGCTAGCATGCTCCTCAACCCTGATCAGAACATGTTGTTAGTCAGTAAATATGCAAGTATCAGAAATTTAAGACATAAGGTTTATTATGCAAGAAGGCAGAAGGTCAGTGTAAATAACAGCCAAAACACATATACGGAAGTCATATGTTTGTTTTTGCCACTCTAGTTTTTGCCAACTTTGCTTATGCCACTCTAGAATTTGACATTTCACTTTTACCACTCTTAGCTTTTGACAATATATCACTTTTGCCATTCCGTGGCAAAAGCAAAAAATTTAGAGTGGCAATTGTGATACATGTTAAAAGCTAAGAATGGCAAAAGTGAAATGAAAAATTATCGTTTTTGCCACGGAATGGCATTTGTGATGTATTATCAAAAGCTAAGAGTGGCAAATGTGAGATGTCAAATTCTAGAGTGGCACAAGCAAAGTTGGCAAAAACTAGAGTGGCAAAAACAAACTTTTCCCATATATTTTGACATACTGATGGAATAGACAGACATACACAGAAACAAAACAAGACTTCCTTCCCGCTCAAGGTATTATACACAGAAACAAGACAGACATACACAGAAACAAAACAGGACAAGGATTTCAAAATACCCAAATGTTATGCAATGCATAATGAATCTTTGTTACTTAGTATTGAGCAAGTGAAGATATATCTGCATAGCAAAGCAACCCTTGATTGCTTTAAATGAAAGGCCAGATGTTGTGGCCCTGTTGGTGGTATCACAAGTTACAACCTAGAGCATTATTTTGTGCGTCTATAGGTTTATACTCCTTATTTGTTTAACTACATCGTGATAGCAGTTGACCGAACAGCAACAGTTCAATCCACAACGTTTGCATTTTGGTGTGTGTTGACATGCTGGTCCATTTCCAGTTTTGGTTATTCGATCCATATATGCAGTTACTTATGTGCTTTGTGGCTTCTTTCTTATGTTAATACCTTTAAGGCTTGCAAACAAAACAACAACATAGAGCTGGAGATTAAGAAACAGAAAAAACAAGAAACAAATGTTGGGAGGTCGTTCTGGTCGGGATGCTCGGCCCACTCCACAAAGAAGAGTTTGACTTGCGTAGGTTGAACTATGGTGTGGTCAAAATAATTCGACAACCAATGATGCTCAGGATTTTATTTTATTTTGGAATGATGTCTCGGTAGATGATTGTCCATCGATGCTGTGGTTGTGGCGTTAGTATTAGAAGCAAATACGAGTATCTAGGAAGATACTAAGGAAGTAGAGTCACTGTTTTACACAGGATGCCTCAGTGCAGCATGTCTGGCCAGAGGATCAGCTTATCTCACATTTAGAAGAAACTTTTGAGAAGCAGAGGTGAATACAGAGCTCCTGGATTATACAACTAGGGATGAGGTGAATTTTTTCCATGAGAATCTTTATCGGGTGTTAATTTGTGGCGTCATGATCGATGCAGGAATGCAGGATCAGTGGAAGTTGGGAATTCATTTGTAATTAAGCACTTGATCCGGTTGATAAGCTCGGATCAAATTCAGTTGGCAGAGCGGCTATCTGCTAAAAGCAAAAGCTTGGGAGGCAGGTCGTACAGATCAGCATGAACTTAATTAAGAACAATCCACCATATGGCTCTCATTCTCACACAGGATTTCATACCCCACAAGAAAAAAGGAATTACTCAGATCATCATAAATAATATAACCTATACAGTCTAAGACACATCTAGCAAAAACATGCTTGTTCAGTAAACCAAGAATTTCTAGGTAGATCTATCATTAAGACTCCCTCTCTCCATAAAACCTCGCATACTTATGCGTTGTTAATTTACTCCCTCCATTCCAACGAATATAACCCACACACATTCCAAAATTCAACTTTAACCATAAAAAATAGGTATTGATCTAATTTATGGTCAAAGTTCAATTTTGAAATGTGTGCACGTGACATTCATTGGAATGGAGGTAGTATACTGTATACCTCACATGCATGTCTCGAGGTGTGAGTTTGCATGCAGGTACAAATAGTATCTGGATCCATATAGGGCAGATCAGTATTTAATTAATCCTATAGTACTAGTACTAGCAATGATCTGAAGAAGGTTTCAATAACAAGCATATCGTTTGAGCTTGTTCCATCCCTCTGAAAAAAAAGGGATGGAAGCTGTGGTTCTACTCGCAATTGTCATCAAAGTTGCATTTTTATTTTAGGTGGGGGGTGGGAGCAAAAGAATTCCTTTTATGATGGGAAGTAAGCATGTGAGGAGGGTAAGAGATGGGCATGCAGAAAGGGCGAAAGCTCACTCGGTTTTATGGGAAGAGGACGGTTCGGGGCGCCGCCGCTCCTCGGCGAGTTCAGGGTGAAGATCAAGGAACGAGACGAGAGGAGCAACGCCGTCCATGGCGACGGGAGCCGGCGGCGAGAGCAGACAAGGAGCGGTTTCGCGGTGCTGGCGGCGGCGCTCAAGAGCGAGTCTAGCAGCGCGCCGCCGCTCCTCGGCGATTTCAGGGCGAAGATCAAGGTAGGGGTCGGGATGGCCATCGTCCTCCATGGCGAGGGCAGCCAGCGCAGAGACCAACCCAAGAGCGGTTTGGGAGATTTTTACCCACTTTTTTTTCAGCAACGTGGTTTGGAGGGTCTTCGTTCCGGGTCCTTTCCTCTTTTTTTTAAAAAAAAAAAATAGAGTTGTATCTATTAATTAAAAGAGAAAAGATGGTTGTTACAAGGACTTGTCAGGCCCTGTTCATGTTCTTGCTCTATTCCTGCGTGCCGCTAGCTGGGACAGCCGTAGATCTTCCATCCCGTGGCTCAGAGGCGAAGATAACGGTTCGCCAGCACAAGGCATCTCTCCTTCGTCGATCTGCCATCCGACGGCTGCTGATCAAAGCGAGACTCTGTAGTCGTCCCGACAATGCATGTGCTCTGTTTTTACTTTCTGCTTTAGCTCCTTTGTAATGGCTATAAAGCCAGCCACCTGCGTGTGGAGTAGGTATGCTTTACTTGTATTGGGTTTAAACCCTAGCCGCCGGTGGCGAGCTGTACCAACTTTCCTCAATTTCCAATCAAGAACCCTGGTTCGAAGCCCTTTCTGTTCCTCTAAATTGATGCGTTTCATACTAAATTGCCTTGATCAGAGCCCTGATCCTGACAATTGGTATCAGAGGCCAGTCCTTCCTCGGTGGCGGCGTTGATTTTTGAGCGGGTGAGGTTGGTTTTGGCTGTAAAATCCCTCTCTCCTCTCGACTTTGGCGGCGGCGAATTGGAGAAGGCCGGAGTGGCGACGTTCGGGTACAGTCGGATTTGCAACCTGGTTACCTGAGGATAATCCTTAGGGAGTAAAATCCCAGCTCTTGTAGGCCGACCGTGTACCATCGGAGGCGGGCGCAGGCGACGGCGGGCAGCGGCGACAATTGTCTTCACTCCCTCCCATCCCAACCCTGTTTTTGCCCAGGTCTGGTGCTATGGCAGGGCCATCGGAATCAGTCACAACGGCAGATCTGTAGCTGCAGTCGTTGAAATTAGACATCAAGGCGCTGCAGCACAATAGAGAGCAAGATCACAAGGAATTTCAGGAGTTCCAGGCCATGGTCAACAGGAACTTTGCCACAATGCAAGTTAATTTTGAGAAGATTCAGGCAAATTTCAGAAGACTGTTGCTCGAACCTGAACCTGAAGATCAGTCAGTGGACCAGTCTGAGCAGGGCAGCGTGCAAAACAAAACACCAGAAGTTCAGACCCCAGGAATTCCTGCAGGGAGGCCTAAGCAGTTGTTGCCCCATACTCCTCCTGTAGGAGCAGGCCAAGAAAAAGAGCAGCCTGTGGTCAGAGGATCTGCAACTCTGAAGGATATCAATGGCAAGGAACTGAATTTAGATGGTACACCCAAAATGCCCTATCGTCATCCCAACTTTGGTAACACTAAGGAAGTGGCTCCAGCAACGGGAGTTGGTGTGGTTCAACAACCAAACCAACAGTTAGTGGAAGACATACTCCTGGAAGAGTGGCCGGATGGATAGAGGCAAAGACAATACACACACCAGGATAACAAAAGGATGGTCTTGACAGTGAAACCAGCAAAACTGAACATTTCTGAGTTTGAGGGGGCTGACCCTGAGTCATGGATACAGAACCTGGAGAGTACTTTGCTGCAGCCAGAACACCAATTGAACACAGGACTGAATTAGCAGTGTCCTATTTGAAAGGCCCTGTTGTGCAATGGTGGAGAGGAACTGGATATGCACCCAACAATGTGCCTTGGCACAGATTCTGCTCTTACCTGACTGAAAGATTTGCTACAGAGTCAGTATGTGATGTGGTTAGTTCTTTTCATGCTGCACATCAAACTTCTACAGTGGCTGCCTATGTGGAACAATTTGAGCAGTTGATGAATATTATGAGGAGAGAAAACCCTGGCATACCTAATGATTATTATGTCACAATTTTTGTGTCTGGGCTCACTCCTTATATTAAGAGCCATGTGGAGTGTTTCAAGCCTAAGGATTTACAAATTGTTGTCTGGTATGCTAGAAGAATGGAAAAAGCTCAAATTCCAGTTCAACCAGTGCAAACTAGACCTTATGTGCCACAGCCCAGGAGACAAGTGGTCTTTGAGCAGCCCAAGGTATCCACAACCCAACCAATGCTAAACAGGAACACAATCATCCAGCAAGCAAAGCAGAATCAGGTGTGTTACAAATGCAGAGAACCATGGGTTCCTGGCCATAGGCAGGTTTGTAAAAGAGCCAGAAAGCACAAATTCAGGCACTGCAAGCTCAAGAAGAAGAAGACCCTGAAACAATATTTGTTACAGATTTTGATGATCCTGACTTGGAAGCAACTGACCCATTACCTGAAGAAGCAGTGTTAAAGGTGTCACTGCATGCTGCAATGGGCATAGGAGCAGCTAGGAATACTTTTATCCTCACTGTTAAGTTAGGGGATACAGTGGCCACATCATTAGTAGATAGTGGCAGTACCTCCACTTTCATTTATCCTCAAATGGCAAGCAGGCTCCCTGTGGTCCCTAGCCCTACACCCAAAATTAAGGTAGTTGTTGCTAATGGGGGAGTGTTATGGACTGAATTCCAGGCTAAAAATTGCCCTTATCAGATACAAGGACACCAGTTTAATGACAGCTTCAGGGTGTTGAAACTAAAAGGGTATGACATGATTTTGGGGGTGGACTGGCTCAGGAAATATAGCCCAATCCAAATGGACTTTATTAAAATGGAAATGAAAATTTCTAGTAGCTCTGGACAGTTTGTGACATTTGTGGATGAAACTGTTCCCTTGGCTCCTGTTACTGAAACCCAAGACAATACTGAGAAGCTGTTAGAGCAGGCTGTTTGTGGGTTTTTTCTGTTTACAGCATCTGATCAGGAATTCACAGCTGCCAGTCAAGATATTCCTGCTGAATTACAACCTCTGTTGGAACAATTTGAAAAAGTATTTCAGGAACCTACTGAACTACCCCCAAGCAGGCCTTGTGACCACAGAATTCCACTAGTCGAAGGAGCAAAAGTGGTTAATCAAAGGCCCTACGGAATTCCCCACCATCAGAAGCAAATATTAGAGAAAATAATTCAAGAGTTGTTGAAAAAGGGAATTATTAGGCCTAGTTCCAGTCCTTTCTCTTCTCCTGTGTTACTAGTGAAGAAAAAAGATGGCTCTTGGAGGCTCTTCACTGATTACAGGAAGTTGAATGCAATCACTATCAAAAACAAGTATCCTATCCCTGTGATTGAGGATCTCTTGGACCAGCTCAAGGGAGCAAAGGTCTTTTCAAAGATTGACTTGAGGAATGGATATCATCAAATAAGAATGGCAGCAGAAGACATACCTAAAACTGCATTCACTACTCATATGGGGCTCTTTGAGTTTATGGTCATGTCTTTTGGACTTACTAATGGCCCTCCTACATTCCAAGCACTAATGAACTTCCTGCTTGGTCACCTCAAATTTGTGGTGGTTTCTTTGATGACATACTAGTGTTCAGTTGTTCCATGGAAGAGCACAAGGATCACTTAAAACAAGTATTGGATATATTGCAAGCAAACAAGTTGTATGCAAAACTTGAGAAGTGCTCTTTTGGACAGAGAGAAATTGAATACTTAGGACATGTGATTAACTCAGAAGGAGTGTCAACTGACTCTTCCAAAATACAAGCTATTAAGAACTGGCCAGCCCCAACTACAGTTACTGAACTGAGAAGTTTCCTAGGGTTGAGTGGTTATTATAGGAGATTTATCCAGGGCTATGGGATAATTTGCAGGCCTCTGTTTGATTGCTTAAAGAAAGAAGGTTTTGCTTGGAAAGAGGAGCAACAGCAGGCTTTTGTCACATTGAAGAACAAGCTCACAAATACTCATGTGTTGGCTCTCCCTGATTTCTCCAAGCCATTCATTTTGGAAACATATGCTTGTGGATATGGACTGGGAGCTGTCTTGATGCAAGAAGGGAGGCCTATCTCATATTTCAGTAAAAGTATTGGTCCTAAAGCAGCTGCAATGAGCACTTATGACAAGGAAGCTTTGGCCATAATTGAAGCAGTCAAAAAGTGGAAACATTATTTCCTGGCAATTGCCCTAGTGATCAGAACTGATCAGGAGAGTTTGAAGTATATTCAGGACCAGAAACTAACTGAGGGCATTCAACACAAGTTGCTGTTAAAGTTGCTGGGCTATAACTTCACAATTGAGTATAAGAAAGGAAAAGAGAATAAAGTAGCTGATGCCTTAAGCAGGGCAAAACATATGATCTCGGCATTGGTTGCTACTGCTACTTCTCCAACTTGGGCTAAAGAAGTTATGAAGAGTTATAAGAATGATAGTATTATCAAAGAAATCATTGCTGAAACTACTGTGGATAAATCCAAAAGCTCTGCTTATTCTTTCAACAATGGGATCCTCAGATTTCATAACAAGATTGTAGTGGGAACAGCTACTAATCTCAGACAGGAAATTCTTCAAACATTCCATAACTCTGAGCTTGGGGGCCACTCTGGAGAAAGAGCAACTTACCAAAGAGTTAAGCTAGTGTTTCATTGGCAGGGAATGAAACAGGACGTGGTGACATTTGTGAAAAACTGCCCTGGCACACCCCCTACCCTGGACTACTAGAACCCCTCCCTGTGCCAGACTTTGCTTGGGCCCATGTGAGCATGGACTTTGTTGAGGGACTCCCAAAATCTGAGGACAAAAACCTCATCCTAGTGGTTGTGGACAGGTTTACAAAGTACTCTCATTTCATTGCTATGAAACACCCAATTACAGTGCAATCTGTGGCCAGAGCATTTTCTGATAATATATTTAGGTTGCATGGAATGCCACTAGTGATAGTAACTGACAGGGATAGGATCTTCACTAGCAATCTGTGGCAGAAGCTGTTCAAATCATTGAATATCAAATTACACATGAGCACAAGCTACCACCCACAAACAGATGGGCAAACAGAGAGGGTTAACCAGTGTCTGGAAAACTACTTGAGGTGCATGTGTTTTCAACAACCAAGGAAATGGCATGGATGGTTGGCTTTGGTTGAATGGTGGTACAA